GATGGAGGAGAAGAGGAGTGTGGAGCAGCTTGCACGAAACATGTATAACAACCACAAGAGTATTTGGGCACTCTAGTCACAATTAAAAATGTATGAATGTCAAAGTAAAAGAGGTATCTGCAAAGAAATGATGCTAAACCTTTTCTCACAACTAACTTCACTTGGCATCTTTACCGCTCACAAAGTAATTTTTAGTGAATGTATGAAGTCAGTTCTCCTCAAGTTCATAGACGGGCCTGATCAAAAGACCATAGGGCTTTGGGACACAAACATCCCACTATATCCACTGCAGTTGTTCTATTATATATGCATGATTATTTAATCTTGTATTTTCCTCATTTGCCATTTTAGGACAAGGCCATTGGTGAAAAGTAGCATAGTAAGAAGGATCTGGTTGTACACTTAAGAATAAATTTCCACATTTCTCAGTGCTTGAGGCCCATATTGTTGCAAAATGTTTTTCCTTGATGAGTGTATTTGTCCTTTTTTTATATATATATAATTTCTTATTCAATGCAGTCACATTAATACATTTTTAATTGTGGTTTAAGTGCCCAGATACTTTTTAGTGCAATTATATAATTTTCTAAATCAAATGGCATTCAGATTTTTGAAGAGATGATTGCGTGACATTTTTTTATTTCAATCTTGCACAGGGAGAGGGAAAGGCTTCAGAAACAATGGGCCACTGAAAACTCTCTCATTCCAAAACATCACAATTCCACACAGAAGAAACAGAACAAAGATCTTCAACTTAAGCTGAAGAAGCTGGAAGCCAGAGTTCACCTTCTCGATTTGCAAGTTAGAAGACATTTATAGTTTTATTATATTGTATGCAATAAACTCTTACGATTTTTGACTGGTTGCATACATGTTTTAGTGCATGCACAGGCATTTTACGACATGGTACTCAGTGATATTGGAAAGAAGGGTGCGCATGGGCAAGGCAGCGGCGCTGTGTGATTGGAGGAGGCAGCTGAGAGCGTGGCGGTCATGGCGGGCTCTGGTCTGGGCAAGAAGAGAGAAAAAAGAAGCTGAAAGGACTGAGGAGGAGCTGAGACAGGAGCACAGGCAGGAGAGCTCAATTTATAAAACTTGTCACTGTCAACATAGGGCTTAAACAACTTGATAAACATTTGAAAGGAAAGCAAAGCTCTTTAACTAAACAACTAGACTAAAAGAGCATGTTAATTGCTTAATTAAAGGTTAATTAAAGGCTTTAATTCATCTTGGCAGTCAGACTGGTTTTAAGCCATATCTGTCCCACAGGCGCTGTCAGCAGGCAGTGGAGAGTGACCGCAGGAGGCTTTTGAGGCGCTGCCTCAGTGATTGGCGTGTGTGGTGTCAAGTAGAACATCATCGCAAGGAGCTTCTCCAACAACAAGAAGAAACCCGACGTAAAATGGCTGTTTTGATCAATGCGGCAGCTTCTAGGAAACTAGGAGCAGAAAAATCTCCACCAGTTACTAACCCATTTAAAACACTCAGTCCTAGAGAAAACATCAGCCATCAGGTAAGGACATATACTGTAATATTTTTTATTCTGATTAAACTATTCCACAAACTCTCTTCATCACACCACAGGATGTGGCAGCAGCTCCAGAAAGCAGTTCACTGACTGCACAAGCCTCAGAGGCCCCGCCCACCCAGGCCTGGCAGGTGAGGCGTCGCCATGCCGCTCTCTCATCGGCCGAGCTACAACAGCTCCGTCAGGGGCAACAGCAGCAGACCTCCCAAAGTGGAAGTGTGGAGCTTAGCGGTGGACAGTTCAAACACCGCCATGCAGCTCTGCAGCTAACCGTAGCCGAGCAGAAGCGTCTTCTGAAAGAGCAACAGGAACAGATTCGGCATCTGCAAGAAAGACAGAACATTCTGGAACTGAGGCATGAGGCAGAGAAAATTGCTCTGTTAGGAACAAGTCCTCCTGGAGCTACAAATACATGCTGTCTGCCTAAACCCAACACAGAGACAGCAAACCGAATTACAGAAAAACCCGCAAGGTACTATACAGGTTATCCTGTCAAGGTACCCCCATATGTGTGTGGCATACAGTGGGTACGGAAAGTATTCAGACCCCCTTAAATTT